GCCACGCGTCGGACTGCATGCGAAGGAAGGGGCACGCGTCGGACAGCAGAGCTGCACACGCGTCCGAGCTCGGAAGACGCCACAGGTGCGAGGCGCGTCGGTCTCCCATCGAACCACAGTTTCAGCCAAATCAGCGACTGACACGAGGCGGACACTAGGCGGCTGCGGGTGCAAGGTGACGTGGCGGTTACTGTTCATGCGAAATTACCCGGTTTTCAAGGATTTCTCGATATTTGTGCCCAAAACTTGCAAAATTCATAACTTTCGCATACGAGCTCCGTTTTCGACGTTCTTTATATGCACGCGTAGGTAAAATTATAGTCTACGACTTTCGTTTAGACTTTGTTGGCTAATTTTGACTTTATTTTTAATATTATTATTTTTAACAGACCGGGACAGGAAAATCCGTTAAAAATTCATAACTTCTTTATCCGAAGTCCGTTTTCGTCTGTCTTTTTACCGTTGTACTACTATTGACGAGACCTTCGATTCTCGTTTAGGTTGTGTCGGCTAAAAATCATTCGATCTTTATTTCGAGTTTTTAGCTGTATACTGCTATACTGAACTTTAGAAAAATCATAACTTCCTCATATGAAGTCAGATTTTGACGTTCTTTTTATGAAAGTTCTTGGTTTAACATATTCTACAACTTTCATTTAGATTGTTAAGGCTAAAAAACCTTTTATTGAAAACTAACTTTTTGCACTGAACAGTGTTTTGCCGGTTTTGTCGCGGATCTTCGATTGGTCATAACTTCTTCGTTATAACTCGGATTTTAGTGTTCTTTATATTTTTGGAAACCTTGTTACAATCTCTACCACTTTGTTCATCCCAATCGAGATTATTTAATACTTCATTTTTGAGGGTCGATTATGTAAATGTACATAGTATGCTAAAATTTCTCTTTATTATTTTAAAAAGAACTACAAATTGGCCTATTTTATTACATATGTTTGAAATAACGGTTTGTTACAATGGTCGAATGAACAAACCATGAGATAACGTACCTTGAAGGTAACAAAGGATATGTTTAAGAGCAAGAAAGTGAGGTTCACACAGATCATGCATAATCAGACATATCTACTGGACAACATAAGCAATATATATCAAGACAAGTGAAGGTGAGGTATTGCAAAGCACCAGTAAGACTACGATAAAGAGTGGGATCAGAGATAGGAGTACCATCCGGAGAGAGTTTTGCTTTAAGTCAAAGGGAGTGCTGCAGGGATTGCACGTGGTCATTGCAGCCCGAGCAAGAATTTCCTTAGCGAAGGAAGTTTTGGACGAAAAAAGACCCCGGGTAGTTCGAGAAGCAGTAATACCAAGAAAGAAGGATAGAGGGCCAAGATCAGACATGGGAAATTAAGAAGAAATACGAGTGATGATACAAGTGATGAGAGCGGAAGAGGAAGCAGTGAGAACAATATCATCAACATAGAGCAGAAGAAAAATGTGATCACTACCAGAGTGATAGGTAAAGAGAGAACTGTCTGAACGACTACTGGTGAAACTGATGAAGGTAATGTAAACAACAAAGCGATGATACCAACCTGTAGGAGCTTGTTTGAGACCATAAAAGGCTTTCCGAAGACGGTAAACATGATGAGGAAAGGTAGGATGAACATAGCCAGGAGATTTCTTCATGTAGACTTCCTTAGATAAATCACCATGAAGAAAAGCAGTTTTGACATCCAGTTGATGAATGAGCCAATGTTTGGATATAGCAATGTTAAGAACGATATGAATGGTGGATGGTTTGACAACAAGACTGAACGTGTCATCAAAGTACAAACCAGGAAGTTAAGAGAAACCCTGAGCAACAAGACGAAATTTGTAACGTTCAAGATTACATTTTCTATCATATTTGTGACGGTAGAGCCAACCATAACCCATATTGTTGACTTGAGGAGGAGGAGGAGGAGAAACAGGCTCCCAAGTGTGATTGGACTAGAGAGCTGACATTTTAGAGTCCATAGCAACTTTCCAGTTGGGATCACACAGAGCTTGAGCAATAGAGCGATGAATAGGAGAAATATCAGAGGTGGCAAATAAGTTAAATATCTGGCGTGGTCTTAAAGACCCAGTACGAGATCGAGTGACCATAGGGTGAGAGGGAGGGGAAGGGTGAGAGGAAGAGGTTAGGGGTGAGGTGTAGTAGTAGAATCAGAACTACTACTAGGAGAGACAGATGGATATGAGGTAGTCATAGGAGTACTAGTATCACCAGTCACAGAGGAGGGAAGTGGAGGAAAGATTGGAATATCATTTTGATCCCCCTCTATTTTATAAACTAACGTTTATATTAAATTTTACTGTAAAGTGAAAACGGGGTATTACACCATGGAAAGGATTGAAGATGAAACATTTTGTTTGTTAGGAGAGTGTCATTCCAACAATTTGGAAGTAGACGTTTCATTATTATAAACGTATGAATAACATGGTTAAGTTTTTAATTATTATAATAATTTTTTGATATAAAAAAATGATTAAAAACTATTAAAAACATTGTAAAAAAGGATTTGGGCAATATATGATATTTTGAAGGTTTTTAAAAGACAAATATGATATTAAAAAATTAAGTTGGACAAATATGATATTTTGATGTTTAAGAAAAACATGTATGAAAGTATTTCTTAAATTAAATAGTTTTTTGTTTGTTTGTATTGTTACAAATAAAAACCAACTAAAAAAAACATATTATTTTAAAGTTTTGTAATTAATGAGCTAAGTCTTGTATTTTTAGGATTTGTATTTTTAGGATTGTTTGTCAAAAAGTGAACTTTGAGTCTGAGTTAAACTTTAGTTTGTTTAGGCTTGTTTTGTAAAACAAGTCGAACCTCATTTTGCTGGATTATTCACAATTCAAACTTGATTTTTATTTTTTATTTATAAGACTCAAATCAAAACGAACCGAGTTCGAGCTTTTATAATTTTAAACGAGCCAAGCTTGAGTTTAGTTATGGCAAAAAAAAAAATACCTTCAAAGGCTTTATCTTTTTATTTTTATCCGAAATTTCAAATCGACGTGGACCGGCCATCTTTCACTCGTCGACCATACCGAATGGTCTTATATATTTTGAAGTGCATGTATTTTATAAATTGCATGTGGTAGATTTTTATCTAATATTATCTAATATTATCGATTTTATCGAAAACATTGAATATAAACCAACAAATATCGCTTTCATTCGACACCTCCAACAACTTGATGTCAACGATGTTCATTTCTATTGCCTCTTCTTCACGGACACGTTTTATATGGTTTTTAGTTTCAACAATTCAAATTAAAGATGACAAGTGAAGGTGATTTATTATCTTATATTTTCTTTTATTGTATTATTGTACTATATATCAAATACCTGGTGGACGTTTTCATTATTTCATATAATTGGTACCTGTTTAAAATTTATTTTCTATATTTTTATTTTTTTTAAATATTTTGTAAAATGATATTTCTTTTCTTTTATTTTCTAAAATATCATTTTGATCCCCTCTATTTTATAAACTTTTCTTTTTATCCCCATGTAATATACATAATCTAATTTTCTTAATAACTTCGTTCGTTAATATAAAAAATACTAATTTTTATGTATGTGTCGTTATTAATTCGAGGTGGTCAACATTTCGTCGTAAATTTAGAACTTTCGTTTGTCATTTTTTTATATACATTTCAATAGGGTGTTTAAAATATAGGAAACCAAAAAACCAAACCTAAAACCGATGAACTGTACCGATTATCAGATTAACCTAAGCGGTATTTTCGACATTTTTCGGCGTGGTTAACCAAACCGGTAAAAAAATTTGTTTTTCAGTTTGATTATAGTTCATGATTTTTGCCACATGCGGTTAACCGATAAAACAAAATTAATTTATTTTTTTTACAAGGCCACGTAGGTTTAGCATCCAAATTTATTATTATATTACTATTCATTAGAAATTGGCGATGTTATTTAATAATTATTATTTTTAATTAGCAGTCTATTTCAATTAACAACTAACATATTTATTAACTAGTGTATATCATATTCATCCAATTTTTTTGGTTAATGGTTGAATGGTTTATCATATAATATTTTTATGACAACTTTTATTTTTAACGAGATTCATACTCCATTTAAAAGAAAAAAAAATCTTTCAGTTTATCATTCATATTCAACATAAGGAAAAAAAAAAAGACCCTAACGCAAATAGAATGTAAAGTTTTTAAACATGTTTACTAATTTGTAAACGATTAATTGTTTAACCAGATCACCAAATCGGAAAAAGAGGTTAACTAAAATCCGGCTAGGTGTAGGTTTATGATATTAGTTCAGGTTAACCTTCCGAAATGTAATTTCGGTTCGGTTAACCATCCATGAACACATTGGTATAAATTCGAGTTTATCTACATTTCAACGTAATTTTTTTTATGTTTTTTTTTTGCTTGTTTTTATGTACGTTTCTTACTTACGAATCGAGTCATATATAATACGGTTTTTTATTATTCAAACTTCCATTCGTTAATTTAAAAGAAAATTACTTACTTATTTTTATGTACGTGTCGATATAAATTCTAGTTTTTTTTGTTTGTTTTTAAGTACGTTTACTACATATGAATTTGCTCATATATAATATGTTTTTATTTGATAGTATATATATTAGAGTTATTTAATGGTACATACATTGTATATTTATGTACCAAAAAATGCTGTAATACCTAACTTTTATAAATACAATCCTCAAAATTCAATTTACAAAACGGATTGAAGTTGCTGCAACACGCGACGGATAAAATCCTGATAATTATAATAATATAACAATTATCATTATCATCCCACATGATAGTAATATAACAATTATCATTATCATCCCACATAATTTATGTCAAAACTGTATTATTGTTATAGGAATAACTATCACTATCATCTTTATCACATCTTACATAATTTCTATTGAACATAACTTCTTTCAGAATTTTCAATGATCCTTAATATTTAGTTTTCCGATAGCCAAATAGACCCTTATTGACCCGGGTCCGCCCCATGGGCCCATGTTTCACTCCGTTGCTTTCGGATCCGGGATGCCCACGACTTCCTCCCTCCCTGATCCACCGTCCTCCTCCGTTTCAGCTCCACCACCTGCACCTGCCACGACTGTTTCCACCGTGTTTTCTCCTCCGGTCTCACCTCAAACCGGGACCCTTTCTTCCCGGAGAAAGCCGAGGGCAATCCCTTCGCCATGCTATTATCATACATAGCTCGAGCATCCGGGTCGGATAACGTCTCGTACGCTTCCTGGACCTTAATAAACCTCATCGTATTCTCGTCGGCCCGATCCGGCGGCGATACGTCCGGGTGGTACTTCAACACCATTTGCTTGTACGCTCGTTTGATTTCGGAGAGTGTCCCGCTCTCTGGTATGCCCAGCAAGTCATACAAGGTTTCCTCGGGCGACGGTGTGTACAACTGGTTGGTGGCGGCGGATTTGGGTGGTGAGTTACGGGTAGTCCTGATTGATATTACGGGGTTTTTGAGATGGGTATTTCTGAAACTGAAGGAAATATGCGATGAAGATGTGATGAATGAAGTTTTGTATGAATTTGAGGGGCAATGAAAGTGAGTTTGGGTTCGTGAAGAAAGGGGTTTAGAGTTGATCATGCTCTTTTGAATTTTTGTTTGTTGAATCGTGGAAAAAGTAGAGTTTGTGTGTGAATATATAGCGGAAGAGAAAGGTAAAAACGTACTCGACTATAAAAAAGTGTACAAAATGTTAGTCTGATTTTATAATCAGGATCAATGCATCACTGTATCTAATAGACAAATACATCAAAATACTTTTTAAATATAGTAAAATAACTATTTGTCATTTGTTTGCTTGCAAACACTACAATAATTGTGAAAATGGTTGTACTTTATGTGTTTTCTTAGTAAACTAATCTTCTTATTATTATAGGACCTTTAATCTTTAACCTTTCAAAAAAAAAATTATCATATACGTTTTCATTAATTTTTAATTAGTAAATAACTTTTGTTATAAACTCACTAACATAGTTAATCTTTTTAAAACTTAGAAACGGTTGTTAAAACAACATTTAAATCTATATTATCATAACACACTCTCATGTCAACTTACTATCTTTAATTTATTGCTAATAAATTTAATTTCTAATGTACATGTGTTTGATTTTTATAAGATAATATATGTTTTCGTATTTTTGCAAAGTATTTATGTTTTAGCATGAACACACACACACACACACACACACATATATATATATATATATATATATTTATGTTATTTTGTTTCTACTAACTATTGTGTGCCAGAATGCATAGATGTGGACCATCGGATTGAATAGAATCAAATGTCATGATCTGAGAGTCTATGATATTACAATAGGGTAACATGTACCATATAATCACACAAATTTCAGCATAAGGGCATTTTAGTCAACTGACACAAATTTAAAAAAGGAAAAATCGAGATTTATGGGATAATTAATGATTTTGATTTAAAAAATCTGATTTTTTTTCAAATTAACTCAATTTCAAACGTAATTTGTAAAAATAAACCGATTTTATTCTATCAGAATGTTATTTTGTTAGAATGATATTCTGTAATTCTGTCAGAATGGTATACAACTATGAACATAATATTATAAACACATATTATCAAGACCAATAATTTTTAATGAATACAAATTTTATATAAGACGAAGTTTAATAGTTTAGAATAAGTAATTACATTCATTCTTAAAGAATTCAACTATGAACATAAACTATATTCATTCTTGAAATCTCTTGCAAAAAAAAAATATCGGCATTCTTGAAAAAATCCTCATTCACTTTGTTGTTTCGTTTCTAGATGTCTTGTCTATGTTTGACCTCTAATCCACTTCAAAATATGCTAGCATTGTATAAGATTGACATTTTGTGAGATTGACATTCTGTCATAATTGTATTGCATGAGAATGATTTTATACAATGAGCCTTTCCCATCAGGTCTTCAAGCCATTCTTCAAGCCATTTCTATCACAAATTCATTGCTAAATATTTTGTAGTGATACACTTGTAACAACTACACATTAAACATATAACTAATTAACTACAATTCTATCAGAATACAACAATAATATTCTTACAGAATAAACTATTCTTGCAGAATGGTTTTGAATATTCTTAAAGAATTTGTATTATCAAGAATATACCCAACGAAAAAAACATTTGAAATATAAATGCAGGAAAAGATCATGTTAACACAAAGATGTATTTTGAATGAATAACTACAAAGATGTATTTTATATCAGATGTGCATACACATATACGATTGACATAAAAACTTAGTCTCACCTTCTAGTATAATCTGCTTTTGAGACAATCTCTAAGGCCTGATAAAACTGACGAAAAGTAGCCAAGTCAAAAAGCGCCTGTTTAGATGACAAAAATTTCAGATTTTCTGTAGTGAAAGTTTTGAAAGGGGAACTTTTTCCATAGTAGTGATGTTCAAGAGTAACAACAGCAGCTTCAAATTTCTTAGCCAAAACCTGTATGAAGTTCAAAAGCTTCATCATCATTAGTATTTCAATTCTCCAATTACAATTAAAACTCCATAAAAGCAACAAGAAAAGATCCAACGTACACTCATATAGTCATTTGTTATTCCACGACATTCAGATTCACCACATACTACTAAGAAGATCGGTCCATCAGGAATCCTGAATTCGTCTAAGTATTCATAATACCGCTGTTGAAATTTACGATCATCATGTATATACCAAAAGTTCAAAATTCATAATCTTGTTGCTGAATTCGCTCTAATTAAACGACAAAGCAATTCAATTTAACTAAGGATACTCGAAATGCATTCAATCGGATAGATTATAATCATAAAGGGATAATGACTTAAAAGGGTAATATATTTTTCGATTTGTACATATTTGGTCACTGAGTTTTTTTTTTCCGTCCACATTTACCCCTTCAAGTTGTTAAACTGTACACATTCAGTCCTTATGACCGGCTACTCCAGGTTAACCGGTAAAAATGACTTAATAGGATAATATATTTCTCATTTTGTACACATTTAGTCCTTCATATTTTTGTACACATTTACTCCTTAATAATTTTTTTTGTTGTAAAATAAGTCATTTTTGTTTTTGTACTCATTCAATACTTATGAATGATTTTCTTTAGGTTTTTCTCACGATATCTTACGTGAGACAATCATTAATGAGGTGTTTGGAACTTTTGATGCTTATGTCCATCGCGATCTTAACTACTTGGTTGCTTAGGTCATGTGTTTTGAACGTCATAACTTCTTCACACGATCTCAAATTTTAACGATCTTTATATCCATGCGTTCGTATTTTAGTCTACTACAATTTTCGTTTAGATTACTCTCGTTAAAAAGTAATATATTTTTATTTACGATCCTTATATCCATACGTTTTTATGAATGTATGTATGGATTTTTTTTATAAAATCGTAAGTAAAATATATTACATTTTAACGAGAGTAATCTTAATGAAAATTGTAGTAGACTCAAAAAACGAACACATTGATATAAAGATCGTTAAAATCAGATATCGTATAAAGAAGTTACGATGTTCAGAAAACAAGATCTAAGCCAAACCACAAAACCTACGCAACCAAGCAGTCGAGATCGCGATGACCATAAGCATCAACAACCCCAAACACCTTGTTAATGATTGTCTCACGTGAGATGTCGTGAGAAAAACCTAAAGAAATCATTCATAAGTACTGAATGGGTACAAAAACAAAAATGACTTATTTTGAAACAAAAAAACATTAAGGACTAAATGTGTACAAAAATATTAAGGACTAAATGTGTACAAAATGAGAAATATATTATCCTATTAAGTCATTTTTCCGGCTTACTTGGAGTAACCGGTCATAATGACTGAATGTGTACAGTTTAACAAGTTGAAGGGGTAAATGTGAACGAAAAAAAAAAACTCAGTGACCAAATGTGTACAAATAGAAAAGTATATTACCCTTTTAAGTCATTATCCCAATCATAAATTGAAAATTACACCCAAACTCAGCTTGTAAAAGAAATCATCGAAACCCAAAATCGTAGATAACAATCTAACACATGCATAGAGATATATCAAGAGAGAGGATTCATACATAGGGGGAAAAGTGATCGAGAGTCTAATTCAACCACAAAGCTTCCTTTGTAAGATAACTACTGCTGTTGCTAGTCATACGATTGATTCAAGAAGTTAACAACCCATTACAGACACTAATCATCAACAACGACCCAAGAAAACCCAGTAACGCTCTCATTTTGTTTCTCAGTTCTTCTAATTTGTAGTTCAAACCTGGTTTTTCAAGCAGCCCTTGCTGCCCTCGCTTCATCCTCCAAACACCGAGAGGCAGCAATAATTAAATTTCTAGTCAAGGGTTTGCTCGGCCACTGGACCATTGATCGACCTTACGTATGATATGAGAGGCTAGGGTTAAATAGTTGGTCAAACAGATTTTTATGGTAATTTCCATGAATTAAGGGATTTTATTTTAATTATCATGCTAAAGTTACATAATTACCCATATTACAATTTTTAATTATTTAATTATTCCTAAATTGCTATTGGTGCATTCATGCACACAATAGTTGCTAGAAACATTTGAACCTATCTCTCTCTCTCTCTCTCTCTCTATATATATATATATATATATATATATATATATATATATATATATATATATATATATATATTATATATATATATATATATATTATATACAGAGAGAGATAGAGAGAGAAGTAAGTTCAATTGAGAAAATAAAAAAAAATTGAGAATCGAGGAATCATTCTCAGCTAATCATTTATTTTTGCCGTAAAATGCTCCAGCGTACCGGGCTGACGCCCAGCGTACTCACCGAGTTGACCCGGTTGACTTTGACTTGGATTTTGACCAAGGTTTGACTTAGGGGTATTTTGGGTATTTTGATATGTATTCTGAGATTTAGTTATGTATTTATAAAGGTGACTGGTAGAGTTGATTTCGTAGCAGCATGCTATTTCAGTTTTGTCATCGGTCTGTGAGGTGAGTTTCCTCACTGTATCTATGGGTCGAAGGCACCAGGCCCATTATTCGGTTATGTAGAATGCTAGCTGCTATGTGATATATATTTGTTTATATGATCGGGTTGAAATACACCCCAGGGCGGAGCCTACTATTGTATGTCCGGGTTGAAATACACCTCAGGGCGGGGCCCACTATTTGTATGTTTGGGTTGAAATACACCCCAGGGTGGGGCCCACTATCATATTATCGGGTTGAAATATACCCCCCGGGTGGGGCCCACTATGGCATGTTCGGGTTGAAATATATCCTGGGGTGGGACCCATTTTGGCATGTTCGGGTTGAAATATACCTCAGGGCAGGGCCCATATTTGTATGTTTGGTATGTGGTACTTTGGGGAACTCACTATGTTTCGTGCTTACAATTTATGTTTATGGTTTCAGGTACTTCCGATACTAAAGAGAAGAGCCCGACGTGATGGCACATCATACTCCCTCATGATTTCTGCAATTTGTGGATATTACTCTGATGATTTTGATATTGTAAATTGTAGATGTTTTGAAACAACTTGATGTTTGGAACTATTGATTTTAAAATGAAAAATTTTA